GAGTATGTAAAGCAACACCTTTTTTCTTTGATTGGCATCGTCTTTTTTTTTCGTCAAAGGGTTAGGCTAAATTTTAGTCGGAAGCACCCCGATCAGATAGGAGGTCTTCCGTAAGGTACGCGGAAGATGGCCGATCGAAACTGCTGTTACGAGAGAACGCATGCTGGGGTCGATGCCGATGAGAACCTTTGGGGAATAGTCGGTCCCAAGCTTGAACAACTCCTCGGCGAACATGTCTGCTTCAGCAAACTCTTCCGGCGTCTTCGCTGTCTATTTTCTTGGTTTCTTCTCGGTAGCAGCGGTCCCGTCGTTATTTTTACGCTTTTTCGTTGATACCAGCTTACCACGACCACTTAAGTTGTAGTCACTGGGCGTATCATAGTCACCGACGCCCCGTAGCCGTTGGTTTTGATCTCGTCCACAAACTTGCGATTCTGCGTTTCGAACTGCTCTACGTCGAAGATCTTCCGGAGTACTTCAACTTTATTCTTCTGGAAAGTCCTCGCGTTGAACGGTAGATGATTCAACTCGCTCTCCAAAAAATCCTTAACTTTAGGATCATGAATACGACGAGCGAGGAGACCGTACAGCGTAGATGCATTCAGTTTGACGTACGCGGCTTGGAACGTCGTAGCCACTGGTAACAGAGAGTACACTCTTGCGCCATTCGTATTGGGGTGCTTGTTCATAAACTTCTCCATGTAAGACAACATGTCGAACAACTTGCGAATGAAGTGTGCGCTGTTCGCTCGGATTTGCCACAATCTCCAACCACACCCGCAACTCCGTTTCCACTGGGTCACTGGTCTCGTCCCAATCCGTCCATGCCTTCATCGTCTTGTCAGTGAGATTACCGTCTTCGTCTTTTTCGGGTATCGACTTCACACGATAACAGCTATCCACGAGTCGTTTCGTTTGTTTGTGTGAGAGTTCCAGCTTGCCTTCTTCCGCGTACTTGAATAAGGTAATATGCCAGTTATGTGCACTCGACCAGTTTTTGCCACTATATTTATCCAACCAGAGCTCCAGCATTTTTAGTTCTCGGTTTGTATTGGCTATTGCAATTGAGGCAAAGCAATTTGAGCTGGATAAGGCTAAATGGATTATCTCGCTTAAACAAATAGCGGCAGAAAACTGTTCACCCCGCTAATATGAGAGCATTTTCGAAGCGGAGCCGTCTCTGCCCCAAATCATGCAGCAACAACAGCGTTTGTGCATCAAATTATCCGAAACGAGCGCTTTTTAAGAGTGATTTATCGCTGAAATTGATATCTCAGTGAAAAGTTATGTTGATACAAATTTAAGACTTCCAAAAGTGGCACGTTACTGGCACACTACTTTACTCTTGAATGCGAGAATGTCCTCAAAATATCGTATCAGGTTTGACATTTGGGTAATATCAAGTTTACTCCCCAGTAACCTCGGGAACGGACTCGACGGGCCTGAACGATATCATGCAAGAGGATATAAGGTTCGTTTAGGAATGGGTTTACTGTATATGTAAAATCTGTGCACTGTGTATTACGGTACACATGCGTCGTAAACAGACGTGTGTATTACTGACGCCTACACGTAATACCCACGTCTGTTTATCGCGATCTGTACGCCAATGATACATACTATACTACATGCCGTAATACGATATCCGTCGACTCGGGCCATTCTAGAATTGCAGCGCTGATACAAGCCCCCCCCGTTTTTCCACTCCTCCAAGCAACCTTCACTTGTGACAAATAATGCGCATTTGCTACGTCCTGGCCGTAGCTGCAGCTGCCTTTCATGTCCATAGCGACACTGTGTCGGCATTGACGGATTTGAACCATAACCACGTTGCTACCGACAATTCGGTACTCTCCGTCGACACTGCTCAGACTACCGGTGCTAACAAGCGATC